TAATCTGTTAATGCTACACTGCGGTGATGTGTGTTGGCAGTTAAATGCCGATGATATGAAACCCACATGATTTCCGTTTGTCTACAGAAAATTGTAGCACAACCTGTTCACTTTTACATGGGAATATTGTTATAATCTTTAAGATTTCTTAGAAGCCAAACACATGCAAGAAAGAACCGTCCCAACTGTGGAAGTGGGGAAAGTGAGACAGATGGAGGCGCAGACAAATCATGCAGCGCAGAAAGAGTTTAATTGCGTATACTTATTAAGACAAATGCTAGTGTCTCATTTTTTATGTGACTGCTATACAAAATGAAAAGAAAATCCATTTAAGAGCTATGAATTGACCTCTTAGTTAAGCTTCCCAAAAATCAATATTCAGAATGCTTGGTCAAGCTTTACCATGTGTGTGTGTGTGGCTTGTAGACTGATTCCCTGGGCCAAAGTAGGGCAGGAGAGCCTGGCATTGACTCAGCTTCCTGCATGAGTGACCTGAGGAAACAGTGTGTGTGTGTGTGTGTGTGTGTGTGGGTGTGCTAGCTGCTGTCAAAGAGGGGGAGGAGCAAAATGAACGCACCAGCGAACGGGAGATGGAGCAAGAGTGGAGTGTAGTAGAGACAGAGAGAGAGAGAAAGAGTTAGCATCTGTTGTTTCTCTGGCAGCTGAGCAGCACTGGACCGATTTTACGCACACATATTTTTTCCCCACTCCACCACACGCTGCTACATACCTACGTAGACACACATTCGCATCTTTCCTCTCCTGCTCTCTCCTGTGCTGCATCCAACGTGGAACGGGCTCCCTCTCTTTCTCTCTATCCTTTTCCTCTCATTCACGTCTCAGGACTCTAAGCTTCAAACCTCGCTCTCCCTGGCTTAGACACTGATCTGAGAGCCCCTGTGACGGTATCACATCGCGGACGGTGTCTGCCAGCAGCCTGTGAGTACAGCAAGAGTGGGAGAAGCGATTTACTTCTTTACATCTCGCCTCTGGTAACAACCTAACAGCTGTTTCTGGGTAACATTGTTGGGAGGCGTTAATGGATAAATGTCTGAGACTCTAACACTGTGTTATCCATCTTGTGGCCACTGATACAGCAGTGACATGTTAGCTTCTGTGTAGATGGCTAGCAAGTTTTGATGCCGATAACTTCTCCCACTTTCAGCACTTCTGTTTTTTTCTGTGCTGTGCTGCTTTTGCTCTTTCACTAAACTGGACTTTAAAGAATGATCAGGATTTCAGCTCCCACTTTAACTGCATCAGCATTAGCTTGGGTCTGAAAACAAAAGAAGATCAGAGCTGCATCCTTGGCAGCACAGGCTTTGTCTTTGCATTCAAGATCAGGAGTTAATAGAACCGATATCTTAGCTGCAGCACAGTCTTTGTTGCATAGATCAGAAAGAAGAGGAAAAGCGTATCTCTGTAGCTTTACAGTAGCTCTGTCTTTGTTTACATTGATTCATAAACTGCTTTCATTCTTTGTTTTACGAACAGATTTTTATTCTGCTGCATTACCTCTTTTCTGCTTCTTCTCCCCCTTTGCCTTTTCTCTCCTTTCTGTTCTTCTTTTCCTGCCTCCTTCCCTGACTTTTCTCTATCTCTTGCTCTTGATCCTGTGTTGTATAGATTCACTTTGTGTTTACAGTCAGTTGCCAGAGGATGTGAAAGTTTTTCGTCTGGTCTGTCAAGCTTAAACTGAGAAAAATACATATGTTAATCCACCAATTCGTGAGGGATTACTGCTGATTTCGGTCTAAATCTGAAAAAGCCAGACTGGGGTTGCCAATGAAAAATATGTAAGATTAAAGGAATAAATTAACACATGTATTTCAGCAAAAGGCTCTTGAGTTTCATCTTTTTATGGAAAGATGGAGGCAGATTGCTATTTTCTTTTTTAGATTATTCAAACCTGTCATTTAATGGAGACATCAAATGCTGCAATTCAGTCATCCTCGGAGGGAAATATCCTAATCAGAAACAATATATTACGGCTCTATTTTCTTTTTTCTTGCTTTTTTATCTGTGGAAAAATCAAAAGCTAATTGCAGATCATGTTGCTCGTTTCACGTGGCTTCCAGCTCTTTCAGCGCTGTTTAGTTGTTCGTGTCAGTGTGTCAGTCTAATGAGAGCTTTGTGGGGATATCAGCTCATATCTGGGAAAGAAGAAGCAGGAGACACTGCAGGTTTCGGATCAGCGTGTGTGTGTGTGTGTGTGTGTGTGTGTGTGTGTG